CTTACCTAGGCGAGAACTTGAGTGTATCCAGTCACCAAATTACTCACCTGCCACTTCATCAAAGCATGAAATGAAGCTTAGAAAACAAAATAAGTAAGCTTCTGGAGATCCAGCCATGTTCGGATATGACTGTCCTTTACTGAAAATAGAAAGTTTTGAGTAGCTGTTAAATACGTTTAGTAGAAGTACATCTCCGCCAAGGATAATGGATAAAAAAACGACAAAAAAGTTTTTGTGAATATCTTTGTGATCAACTTATACTCGATAAGCAACTCTTCAACTCGATGAACTCAAGTGTGAAGATAACAGGAAAGCTAAAGAGCAAAGTCAAGATGGTCAAACTTGGCGGGATACCTAATTCCACCACTTCCCCTTAGGAGTGCAGTTCGTCGAACATGTTTAACACAAGGCGACTGCGATGAGCACCGTTTTGCTGCGCATACCGTATGATTTCCATAGACAAAGGAAATATATGTGGATTAACTTTTCTAATTGACCGTGACTGTAAATGCACTAAATGAAGTATGAATGAATTATGACCAGGCCCCTCGCTATAAAACAAGAGATACCTAGCAGTGCCGCAGTCCTTTTCCATACTTTTCCTTTGCATGTTATCGCTAAAAGCATTTCCGATTTTCTTCTCGTGGCAACTAAATGTGCTTACATTACATCTTTCATTGTACAATACCGCTCGTGGTTTGTGAAAAAATTGGCTGCGACCACCGAAGTTAGGTGCCTCCGCCGTAAGCCGACGAAGTCAAATTCACCTGTATCACCCAGTGGCGGCGGTCCCAGGATTTCGGACGGGGGAGGGGAAAAAATTTTTTTAAATGAAGGTGCGTGGCGTTAGCCACGCACTCCGAAGAAAGTTTTGGGGTGCTTTTCAAAATTTTTGCGGGTCCGTCCCCGAATTTTTTTTACAAAGCCAATTTGAATTTTTAGAGAATTTTAAAAATTGTTTTAATTATTTACAAGAATAACCCATGTAAATAAATTTCAAAAATTTCGCGATCCATTCTCCGGGGGGGGGCTCCCCCCCCCCCCCTCCGTCCCCCTCCTTCGGTCCGCCACTGGTATCACCACACCTCGGTTGAAAGTGAAAGAGTATTGAATCCGAGGGTACCAATCGACTCAGCTCGGCGAGGCTCATCTTCCGACACATACATGCGCCACTATTGGTATACGGTATATCGGTTTTCACGAATCTCTTCAGATTTTTGTTTAAACGGAATACTTAGTGTGCTAATAATTCTCACGTTAAGTTGCTGCTGGCGATACTTTGTATGAGTACTTTAGGTGTACGATAGAAAGTCATTTTGCACGAGTATGCTTGAAAACCTGCTTGAGGAGACTACTTGCTGCGCTGATTGCATAATCATGCGCGAGTCGTTTTTGATTTAATTTGTGAGCCTGCACACTGCAGGCGGCAAGCAATGACACTTTACTGGTGTCGTCAGTAAGACTTTTGTTGTGGAACAAACTGTGGAAATATTACTATCTAACAGGCCAAACCAAAACAGAGTCTAGAAAACTGGGCGTAAATCCAGGAATGATAGCTTCCGATCTTAAATGTCGCGAAGTAACTCGCCTGCTACGCATATGAATTACGAAGACTCGACGATGCCACTGATGTCACAATGCAAAGTTTCACTAGGGGAATGTTGTGACAATTTACTCGACTTCTTTATTTGCGACGTTGCTTCCATGCTCGCCCAAGATTAGTAGTTGGGTATTTTATGATGTCGTGTGAAATAGCTGTAGCTGTACATAGTAAGCATAATATTTTTGTGAACGTTTCTTGGAGATGGCACTGCGTAGCGCATTGTACACAAAAAATCTCTATTACCTATTAGTGAAGTTGTGTTCACACATCCCCGGCAAAAAGCTACTCTTCTCATACTAGATACTCTTCTCCAAAATTGAGAGAATGAATGGTGAATTTTATGGATTTGCAAGGTTCACGAACACTTCATTTCAAAAAAGTCAACAACAACATCTTAGAAAACTGATTTCGCATTGGTACTTTGATCGCATGCTATTTTCAGTACATAGGTTGAGTTTCGTGTTGATCTGAAGAATTCAATTTTATCCTGCTGACAGGTTTTTAAGGGCGCAACTAAATGCTAATAGGAAGGGTTCCCATAGGCCCCGGACAAACTTCACGCGACTAAATCGTCGCGATCTAATCGCCAAGATTTCCATTCATTTTCATTTCACATTCAAAAATTTCGGGCTGGAAAAGTATCACAACCGAATGCAAGTTGATCGGCATGGAATGATGTTGTAACAGTTGCGTCGCGACTCAGTCGTGACGATCAAATCGCGTGAAGTCTGCCGTATAGTTTCCTTGAACGATTTTGCCAGGAAGGAGGGCCACTTGATTTTTTCTCGTTCCTCGTGACCTCGCCACGTTTTGGCTGAAATGAATGTTTATGTTCTTGGATAGACCGAAACTTCATCCACAATGGCTTTCAGACTCGCTATTTACGAAAAGCCTGGTTAATTCGCATTGAAGGGTCTTACAGCAAAGCTATAGTGAGATCACGCAGGATCTCAAATTCGCCTGCACTTTTCGACAATCGTTTAGAGAACTTGCCTGCATGTTTTTGCACGTTAGAGACTCTTTGAACAGCGCTATCGGCACATGCTCAGCACAGGCCCGATCTGCACTATTCGCAGGGTTATAAGGTTACGAACTTATGTTCTCATAAGTTTTGTCCCAAGTTTCAACCGTGTATTCTGACGGATTTTCTCAAAAAGTTTCCCGCAATATCATCCTAGCCATGCTGCACGTGCGCTTCTGACTGAAATTCGCCAGACTACACGATCTTGAAACTTGGGACAAAATTCATGAGAGAATAAGTTTGTAACCTGATAGCCGTGTTGAGCATGTGCCGATAGCATGCGCTTCGCCGAGTTGAGTTGAATGGTACCCTTGGATTCAAAATTCTTTCCTCTAAACCGAGACATGGTGATACAGGTGAATTTGACTCCGTCGGCGGCCGGCGGCGGCCCCTAACTTCGGCAGCCGCCGCCCATCTTCTTCACAAATCAGGAGCGGTAATGTACTTTACTGATTGCTAAGTTGCGGCTTGATCACTAAGGTTTTATAGCACCTAGAGGCAACCTACTCTCCTGCATAGCTCTGACTGTCTTCTACAATGCGTTAAATAATCGTTTCAACGAACTGGCGCTTCTACTTCATCTAAGTCGGTCATCGTCTCTTCCTTAAGACAGAAACGATCAATGTGGTAGAGCAAAGACTACGATTTTGAACACACTGACAATTGTGCGATATGCAACGAATTCCATTTGGTCTCGTTTACGATAGGTATTATATGGGTATGCTGTATTACCACTAGGAAAAACGCTTCCGTTTTCATGCGGTGGAAACCAGAAATGGATGTGGGGATGCTTGATGGAAATGACTCTCTTCCATTTCTTCTCATCACTGAGGGTACCGAAAAAGATTTTGTGCTTAAGCCAACTGCGTGCTTGACCCTGTTTATTTCTAGTCTAAGAAATCAAATATCTTAATTATCAGCCATTGAACCATTGCTCGCTTTTCTCGCTAAAACCACGCCAAATATCTATTGAACGGCGGAATTAAAAGCCACAACATGGCGTTTTTAGGTTGGCTAAAAAATAAGTTTGTTTTGGCATAATCATCATAAAAAATTTTCTTGTTGTTTTCAAACTATGATTCTTTGTGGGAAAGTAATTCGATGCTTTTTTTATCACATATCAAATAATCAGGATTTTCTAGTAAAGACAGTTATGCCTCAACATGGCAAAATTTCCAAAAGCTCAATTCATTGACTTCCTAAGCCTCGTTTTCGTGCTGTAATGTATGTAAACAACAGCAGTTTGGGTTTGGATACAGAGGAGTTTTCCCTATTTATTGAACAACAAAAGGAACTGTGATCTGCCACTTTGAAAATGTTTCACTAAAAACACCAAATTTCCTCATATTTGCGCATTGTGAGAAAATTGCGCTTTCTGACCAAACTTATTTATTAGCCAACCTAATACCTTCAATGCTTGCCCTTAAATGACAAATCAAGGCAAAGGAGGCTCGATTGCCTCTAGGTAGCTTCACAAAAATCTTGACATCTTCTACATTGTTCATGTAGCGTAGCGCAATGTTTCTAAGTTCAGGTGTAACAGTAAATCTAGCCTATATTTGCTTATCACCTCCCGCGGTAATAGCATACTTAATTTAATTGTTTTCATGCACATACTGTGGACTACAACAGATATTGCAAATTACAGTTAAAGTCTCAAGCAAAAATCTTATGTGTAATAACAGAAACGTCTATCATATCCTATCTGGAAAGTACATCAGAGGTGGTTTTTTCTTCTGACAAACAGCATCACTGCCCCAAGTTCACCAACTAAGAAACAGTTTTACTGACATGCAGTCTTAGAGATTTCGAATTTCGAAAAATGATTATTTTTGTTATTACCCTATTTTCAGGTGTGGTCTTTTTCAAATTTTCCCACGAGCTGCTCAGCCGCTTCATTGTGTTTCGAGAAGCGATCCTCATGCCGCACGATTCTTTCAGGCAATACGCAGCACGCTGTTAAGTCCTTTGGTTGCGAAGTCCCTTGATGTGTTCGGGTTGGTCGATGTAAGCTAGGACCACCCCGCGGCTTATACACCTGAAAATAGGGTACAATGGAACTCTAACCAGCAACTCGCAGGTGTACTAATGTGCTAAGAAGTAAAATCTGATATACGACGTGAAACCCTGATTCTGGATTTGATTTTGTTATGTGCTGAACGGTTTTTGTAAAAATTATATTGCTTCGGTAAGTGAAATTATGAATGTTGGCCAATTGGCCTCCTATGCACCACAGACTAGCATTTAAGTTCAAATCAAATGTCTCATAACTCGCTAGCGGAAAAATCTAAGAGAAGAATTGGAGAAGCTTTCAAATACCCTGATATGATTTCCAGTATGAGGGTTCTTCTTTTCACGGCCATCTGCGTTGCAGCGATGAAAGCCGAGTCACTAGGTTGTAATTGCGAAGCGGAGTGGGAGGCGGACGTTTCCTGGTGCGAACTTAATAAACATGGATTTGCAATAAGTAAGTTTTTCACACAAGTGTTCGAAAAATCAGCTTTATTTACGCTCATAGATTTTACAATGCTCGCTTAACTCGACTTTATAATGGTTTACCATGTGTGATATTTTTGGTACACTCAATGAAAGCCTCAAGCGATGACACCGGTTTTTTTCATTCAGTCGCAGAGGTGGAAATCGAGTACCGAAGGCTGGGCGAGAAACGCGATAACTCTTACATCGAAGTCAACGCATTTATTGAGAGAGCTATCAAGTCAGGCGAGGTTATATTGAGATTGCACGGTCAATTCGATAGCAAAAATTTCTGCTTTCAGTCACTTGGACGTGTTCCCCCGAGGAAGCCAATAAGACTTCAGCTGCAGTTCACACCGCCATGCACATTGGATTTGACATCTTATTATCGACCTGGAGCCCTTCTTTCGGTTGGAGGTGAGGCATATGCAGGGTCAAGCGGGGGGTGTGACGCCACACCTGGGGGTCGTATTGAGGAGTCAGGATTGGGATGAGGGGAGGGGGGTTGTAGGGTGTTACAGATGTTAACGATAACATAATAACAAGCCTATCATGCAGAATATAAGCACATCAAGGTATCGACCTAAAATTATACATATATAAGCATAATAAAGGAGTCTTAAAAGCAGCATAAAAGCATTATTTTCGTAACTAGCTTGTGAAATAAACCCCGTGGACTGAGTTTAGCGAGTTTTGAGTTTTCTAGATATTGGGCCAAACAAGTGAAAAGGTCATTTTCGAGCACCTAGCTTTGTATTAAAGGAGGTGAGTTGACTACTTCTTTTTGCACATACACAAAGTACCACAAAGTAGTATGTAGTATTACATCTTCTTTGTTCAAATAAAGAATCCCATTTCAAATAACCGCGAAATTATGGCAGGAGCAAGCCAAAATCTCGTTTGTCCCGTATTTCGCTTTCAATGTCTCAGGCTAGAGAAGACTAACCAGGCTTAAGTTACTCTTGAAGGAGTACGAGTTTAGGCTACGAACACATATCGTCGATTCGTTGGCCGTACGGACTGCTCAAACGCTACGGACCACGCGCGGCGCGGTTAAAATGTTGCGAGAGCACGATTTTAACAATGGCGAGTTTGTATCGGAGCAAGCATTTTACCTCGCGGCGCGTGCTCCGCGGTTATGTCCAGTCCGTACAGTCAACGAATGAACGATATATTCTTTGGCCTTCCCTCGCGACACTTAGTAGCGCAGACTTAGCATGCTACCGTAATCCAATAGGGTATAAGTGATGATACGACACCATAGGTGAAACGATTTTGAATACTCCTAATGTGAAAAAGAAGGTTTAGCAATGGCAAGAATATAAAAAGCACACGTATTCGAACGCTTTGAAGGTAAATTATTGCCGCAGCCACAGAGCTTTTTAGGAGGTGTGCCACACCCCATTATCTTCCCTTCAAAAAGAACTTTAGCGTATAATACATAACAGTTCGATAGCTCAGTCTCGTAGTTTTACAAGAGTAATTTGAGTCTGATTCATATTCTATAATCTGTGTGATAGTTGCTGGAAGCAGCACCACTGAAAGCGAAAAATATCATAAAAGAGATTTTGGCTGGTTTTTCATTCCATGGTTTTTTGGACTGGAATCTCCTATGTGGGCAAGGAAGGAGCAGTGTATTTTATTGAGTGTAACAATGGGAGTTATTTCACCTTTAGAATAAAGTTGGCCATGTTTGAAAACGCCCATTCCACATGGGCGACCCAATATGAGGGACCCTCAGAATTAGCTAAAACTTGACCCACAAGGATATTTGACATGCTTTGACATACCTGATAGGAGTTTGTTACTAATCATGCTTTATAAAGCCTCAACGTTACGTTGGTAGACAAACAGTAATACTGAGAGGGGGGGGGTTGGGACAGAACCTAGGGGGAGGGGGAGTCGTATCCGGCAGTTGTGCGCCACACCTCTTGCTCGACTCTGGTTATATAGTCGTCCTCCCACTAGATTCCCAGTAGACATAATTGAGACTGAACCGAGTAGGCTTGGCGTTAGAGCGCATCAGGGTCCGCCGATTAGAAGTTTGCGCATGTAGTTCTTTTTATTTTTAGTCTTTTTTGTTATTATTCCATGTTGTGATTTTCTTTATCAGAGTTTACGATTCTGTTATTGACCGTTGCTCCAACCTGCCAAATTCGTTTACTTTATTGTTATCTCAGGCAAGCCTAAAAACGACGAAATTGCAGATTTCTCCATGGGAGTTTATATTTTTTTTCAAGTCAGTTATGAGATCTAGTGAATTCTATCAAGATTTCGAAGCCAAACGTTTCTCCAAGCTGCTCCTTTGAGGTAAAACTAAAACACTTTCCGGAGAGTGTGTAACTCTCTGTTCAAAGGACAGCAAAAACAAAACCGTAATTTTTAGTGGGAAAACATCGCTACAATGCGAAAGATATTGACACATTTCGAACCGCGAAATCGCGCGCGGCGAAAAAGAGTGTACTTTCAGCCGTTAGCCAACAAAGGGACCTTATTTCGTAGACTGTGTGCTAATCTGTAATCAGCTTGTTAGATAAGTTCCATACCCAAAGTTCTGAGCGGATTCGAAGTGTTTATATTCTGTCCCTTGTAAAGGACTCCTGTGCTTTCCTAAAAGATAGGAACAAGAACTCAGTTTCTAATAGTATCCAAAATTATCTGTGTTTTAGACGGTACACATAGTATTGAAATTACGGTTTGTCCCTCTGATATCGAAGCAAAGGGGAGTTGCGAGGTCGTAAGCGTCGTCCGCGTTGCCGCACTCCGTTGCGACTGTTGTTCAATTCGTGCTCATACTTCCTAACAAATATCGGCAGCACAACTCCATAGAGTCATTTGAAAAATAGAAGCTTAGGCCTTTGACTTGATAACCTTAAACTAAAAGAAAACCTTCTGTAAACGCCAAAAAGGTCCTCCAAATCAGGGTGCTGCACAATGTGCAGCACCGGTCCGAAACGTGTTAAGGATCGATGAAAAAACACATGCGCAAGCTTCAAATGAAATCCGAGTCTGCCGCGCTTCAATGACAACAGCCCGCTCAACTTCAAATTCAAATTTGTCCACATTCTACTGGGATGAGGACAGCTATACTACTTTAAGCTTTGACCATGTGCGGCCAAAACTGTGATAATGTAGGCAAACTTGAAGCGAATGTCCTTTCCGTTACTGAGTGCAATTATGAAAAGTGGAAGATTTTCGCAAACAAGGATATAGCAGAGAAATGGAACAGGCCTACCATGGCGCCTGTCTGCAAACAACTCTTGGAAGAGGAAGGAAAAAGGAGAGCCAGTCCTTTTTACTGTAAATGGCGCTGGACACCGCAATTTGCTTGGTGCACTCTTGGTCATACAGATATCGGTGAGTTACCACAAGCGTTCATAAATCAGCTTGTCAAGCTTCTTATCTGTAGAGATTTCTGCTACGCTTGCTAAGTCCAGTCTAATACCTTGCGCTTATCCGTTAGTTGGCATCTATCGGCTCGTACTTGCGCTATTACTAGCGCAGCCAGTAATAGGTATTAAAAATCTGACAAATTTTATGTACATCATGAAGAGTGTTTGAAGAGCCATGCTTTTATGTAGCACCGTGTTCAGGCAGAAAAGTTCTTGGGTGTGCGCTTTACTCAAATACATTAGGTTAGACCGCACATGCGAAAGTGGCCCTCCTCAGGCACAAAGCGCAAGTGTGACGTCATAATACTCGAATTAAAACAAGAAAAACCGGAAAGTTGGGAAACTGACGCCTTGGGTGGGGTCGTCCGACCTGTTCGAGTTCATGCTATGTGGCAGAGTACGCATGCCACCACAGTCAAAATCGTAGAGTCCCGCAGTGTTTCCGCGTCTCTGCCTTGGTGGGGACCGTCGAATTTCAAATAGTAAGGCTTTGGAAAATGTACTCAGACAGTCGAAGGGATACCTCCGGCGGGCAAATGGCGCGAGTCTGCCACTTCGCGCTCTATAGCGCTCCGGAGCCCTGCCATTTCACCGATTTTGGTGCTCCGGGGCCCTTCCAAATCTGGCGCACCTCCAGAGCAGAGATTTGCGCGTCCCGGAGAGGGGTCCCATTCGCCTGCTTGTGACGTCACGGTGACATCACGGTGAACGAATGGGACCCTTCTCCGGGACGCGCAAATCTCTGCTCCGGAGGTGCGCCACTTTTGAGAGAGCCCCGGAGCACCTGAATGCGTGGAATGGCAGGGCTCCGGAGCGCTCCAGAGCGCGAAGTGGCAGACTCGTGCCATTTGCCCGCCGGAGGTGTTTCTTCGACTGCTGAGTATGTTCTCGCCATTTTCGCGCCTTCTAATCTGGATTTTCGGATTCAGCGTTGCGGATAACCCCCGGTAAGTGGATTTTTTAGAAATTGATTTTTGCACGGACACTGCCTCTGAAGGCAGTGGCTCGGCAAATCCTCAACTTGGAAACTTCTTGCTCTCGAAAGGGGCGAAAATGCTGGAAAACTGCAGTTTTGCCGACCACTGCCTATAAGTCCTTGCTGAACAAATTCGCTCTATACTAATTTTACTTAAAGGAAAAAATTATGTACTTTGCAGCAACACCCTGGCTGTTATGTGATAAGCACTAATGGTAGAGGCAAGATGAAGAATAAGATTTTTAAGTTTTGATCAAATAAGATTGCTCAAGTTTTGATCAGTCTGGGGTAGGTCGATAAATTTAGATACAAAAGAAAAACTATTACCATTACGGATTTTGAGACTTGGTCTTGCTAAGTAAGCAAATCTGCTGATTGAAGTCCTATGATGTTTTAAAATGGCGCACTCAAGTTTCGCTCCGACCTAACACGTTATTTTTGAGACACAAGTTCGATGAATGTATCAAACAATAGTATTAGTACATTTAGTCGCACAAATAAAGTTGGAAGAAAAGTTTTTGCCGCGCCGCAACGACAGCAAAAGCTATTTCTTACAAGCAAAAGTAAAGATTACAGCAGTTTACAAATGGGGCAAGGTTAGTACAACACTACACCGAAATCCATGCGCGAGAATTTCTGCTTTCAGAAATTTCCAGAAAGGCAAAAGGAGAAGATTTTGGAATGGGATCCACTACCTCTTCGGCTGCGTTTCCTCGAGGAATGTCATCCGCGTTTTCCAACTGTTCATGGTCACCATATTGTTAAAGGCGAGTTATACCAAATTTTTGAACATGTGTAGTTCAAAATAAGACGTTTAGGCGATCTAAATTTTGAGGACCGTGTTCTTACGGTTTGGAGCTGGAATTACGAGGCGTTTAGGAAGAGCCAAAGCCAGTCATTGATGAAATGGAAAGAAAAGAAGACGCCGACGCCGAGCGAGTGCCACCAAACCGTGAAAAAGGAAAAGAAGCAGAGAGAAGAAGAAGAAAAACGATTTTACAGTTAAGATGGCGACATAGAGTCAAGCACTAGTGAATCGTCCGTTTAGGTACGATTCATACGAACGACTCAACGCCTATTGAGAAATCATGTAATCATTGTGAAAGGAATGAAGTAGCACTGAAAAAGTGCATTTGTGAAGCTGATTTTTGTAAGTTATCTAAAAATAGAGAAGCCAAAAGAGAAAAAAAACATTCCAATTCTTGTGGAATATTTTCGTTTTGAAGCATGATAATTGTTGTTTTCTCTGGTATGCATAGAACATAGTATTTTAGCATCTAAAGGTATCCCTAGAATGCAGGAGTAATAAAAATTTTCTGTAAATTTCAGTCGTCAAAATCGCTCTTCAAGATACTATTGAATCAAACCTCCTTATGGACAAACCACACGCAGTTTATAGAGTCGCTGTGTTGACGAATTATATGGTGAGTTCATCTAAAAAACCACAATTAATTGATGGTTGTATGTTCCTCATTTAGGTAGACGATTTCCATCTTGAGGGGAGGACGTGGATGACTCTTGTGTTACGCGACACACGCCCATGCGGAGACAGACTTAATAGGATGCCAGTTTATGTTGCAGGTTCATTTGCTTTACATATGATGTTTTTGGTAGGAAGAAGAGTAATACATTCAGGCCATCTGTCTTACTTCAATGAAACAACAGTTCTCAACGTCACAACCTGCAGTTTGGTAGTGTGGGCTGAACAGCTCAAAAACACAAAGCTTCAAAAAGATGTTATAACTATAGTAAAGAAACATACACCAAAGCGCTGCAAAAATTTCCGGAGGTGGGTTCAAACCAGAGTATCCAACAACTCATTAACCAAGCCACTTCTAGAAAACCAGGCGAAGCCCCAATTTGCTGAATTGAACGCCTTGCCAGAAAGCATCAAAGTCTCAATTGGCTGTATTTAACATCTTGCAGTGTAACTTCCATAGGAACTAGTGATATAATTAATATATGTAAGTTAGTATAAATCTGTAACAAAACTGGTTCACTCCACTGCCATCTAACAAGAACAAAGCCAAAGCTGAGACTTCGCCCTTCTAACACGCCAACAAGCAACGCGAACGAGTCAGTTCTCAAACTAGCATATCTCTCTAGGTGAAAGGATTACGTGACAAGGGGCGTACTAAAAAAGAACATAAAAAATGCTTGAAGAAATGGAAACTGCCATGTTTGACATTCAGCGTTGTAAGAAGTAGTGCACCTCTGCGACAGAGGTGGAAAATAACTGGCATACACGTACTGAGCTGATGCCAAGCAAAAGTCAAAGATGTCCACAAATTGAGAAAAATTTTTTTTTGGTTAAACGACAACGCCAGTAAATTTTAAAAAAATCAGAGTGTAAATCAAAGAACTGATGTCCGGACACGTAAACTACTCATGCACACTTCGTAGCCAAACACATATAGAGTATCCCAAGATAATGTCACATTGTTTGATCGTTAATAAGTCTCTTGCTTTGAATCTTTCTTTAAACTTCAAGTACTAATCTGTAGGGCTGAATTCAGCTTAGTTACAGTATAGAGCAAATCGCTGATCGCTCTTTCTTACGTAAGATTATGGTAAGGACTCCAGCATATAGATCCATGGTGAAGTAGGCGGTCTGACAGACTTTTCTCAAAAAAAAATCTGCAAAATTGTGTACTAGGGTTTCTACGCATGCTGATTTCAATGCACACCTTTTTACTAGTGCTTTCAGCTTTTCTAACGCTGTAACTATATTTCTGACAAATACTGTAAAAACAGTCGTTACGGTTTACCTGGTAAAGAATGACTAACTTAGGAAAGAAGCATCATAGTGAAGTGAAAATTTTATATTCAAAATCAACAAATTCGACCAACCTAGCATAGAAGTTTTTACTTGTTTGGTTTTTTTTCTGAAGAGGATTATGACCCTTAAAATCCTAAAATCCTTGTCGAAGTTCCTACCGTAATCCTTCAGTGAAAGAGAGTTCTGCGGTCTTTCATACTGTAACTATGAGTTAAAGACAGCTCTATGGAATGGTACAAAGTTTGACGAGGCAGAGCGAGAGAGTATTAAACAACGACCAAACAGTGTGGACATTATCTTAGGACACCCTATATTATTGTCGGAAGCAATTTATTGATTCTGACGTTAGTAGTCATGTCCTCGTTATCTCAAACCTAGTACGACGACGTTTGCAGCATTACGATTTGATCCTACATTTTCCTATTGCACTTCGCAAAAAACTACTAATATCACTATAATTTCTCAACGCGAGACTTACAAAACATTTTAGAGCAATTTTTAACCAATTTGAAGTCATTAGCTAGATTTTGCGATTTGACCATCTTCGACCATGTGTCCCCCTCCTTCTTCCCAAGGTATCTGTTTGCTCTCCCACGTCTTCGGATTTCGCGAGTGTGCTAAGGTTTATAAATGCACGTACTTTGAACAGTGAATCATTTCGATAAACTACAAGGAATGACGGAAGAGGACCTTATAATTCTTTGAATAATCGGTATGATGGCAGCATCTCCTCAACGTTGAACAGCCAATCGTCTTGTAAGAAAGGTCGTAATAGCAAGCGTAACAAAGGGATTATTTTCCTAACCATATTCCATCATGTTGCTGTCAAATCTTTATCATACTGCTTGAATTTTTGTGGTTAGATGGGTCAATCAAAGGCAGTTGAAGTTTATAAGCTGCAATAGCGACTCCATAGAGTTATTGTAACCGTGTTTGTCTGCTGATTTTGAAACCAAGTGTTTATGCGTACAAAAGAAAGTCAACTTTACTGCAATCAAATTGACGAATACTTCAAGGAGATCAGATATAGATGCAGTGCGACGATAGTTTTTCCAAATTCATTTAGCTCAATGTCCGCGTCTAGATATTAGTTGTCCCGAAAGTTCTTGCGTAATTCAAGCAAAATTCATTGACTTTTTAACGCCCAAACCTAAATTTAAAATTTTACTCTTCAAAAATAGTAGAAGGCTTGCGCTCCATGATGGATGTTCAAACATGAAATTCCACGAGCTAGCCACCGATAACAAAGCTTTCAAAATTGGGGCTTCAAATTTTGCAATTTTAAGTTTGGTGCCATAAAATTGCCGAAGGCTGCTAGCTAGCCGAGAGATATCTGTAAAGATTACTTACACAGCAGAAGTCCACGTTACGTTGGCAGGCTTTGATCTTGTACGGTAACGTAAAACCAAACAATTCGTGAAAAATATGATTTTGCAGAGACCCTCATTATTTCACTTTTTCAGTGAAAACACTTTTTGACGCTCCAAAAAGCGTCGCAATGTCTATATTAGGCACTATTATGTCTAATTTCTAATTCCGCATGCGTTTTTGTGGAAAAACTACGGCGATAAGGGGATTTATCCTGTAAAATGACAAATTTCACAATTTTTTTGTTTTTGCATTCCCATACGAGATCAAAGCCTGCCAAAGTAACGACTTCTGCTGTGAAAGTAAATTCTACAGGATTTTTTCGGCTAGCTAGCGGCCCTCTGCGATTTTGTGGCACCAACTCATAAAAGCAAAATTTGAAACCCCATTTTTGAGAGCTTCGTTCTCGATGGCTAGCTCATGGAAGCTTATGCTTAAACATCCACCATGGTGGGCAAGCCTTCTGATATTTTTAGAGAACAGGATTGTGAATTTAGGCTAGGCATTAGAAAGTTAATGAATTTTGTCTGAATTAAGCAAGAACTTTCGGGACAACCTAATTATATACACGAAGGAAAAGGTAGTTATGGAGCAGACGGTAAGAGCTACAGATAGAACATGTTCAATAAAATTCTGCGAGTTAAAGCATTAATTGGAGCAGTTTGAATGCTTTGTAAATTTACTAGTTCTATCACCCACTAATTAGGCTCATGTTTGAAAAGAGACATTCTCTACAATCATAGAGCGCGCAAGTATTTACAGTGCAAAATAGTCTGAACGTCGTTTAGTCGACAAATTTATCGACCTTTACGAAATCTTACCACCCTCGCAGCAGGATGAGGAGGTAACTCTACCTTAACAACAGCCATATACTTACCTTATCACCAGCCACATACTTCACGCCTCCACAACACGACTTCTACAAAGCCAGCTAGCATGAATCTGGGGATGAATCGTATGTATCTCCAAATCTTATTTATAATTTTTTCGTCACTTGTTACCTTGTTCCGGAATGATAGCCGACAAATTCTATAGGGTCATCGCAAATGTCCCATCCGTCTTTTAGATCTCGCTCAAATTTGTTGAATGAAGTGAAGGTGAACAAATACTTCAGGCTGTGTCGTATGCAGTTCTTCCTCGTTTCGGAACATTGACAAAGTGAGTCCTTCAACAAGCGCTGAGGCGATCGCCGGAGTTTGCAATACTTCTTTTTGTTAGGATGGAAACTAAGTTTTGCTCATCTCAACAACTTTCTTCTTTTTCAACATCGCGCATTCAAATTTTGTAAAAACTAGATTATCACGTAAACTACGAGTGCAGCTGCTTTCCTGCCAAATTCTGACGTCGCAATGAGGGTTACGGTAGGCGTATGGTACAAGGGAAATGTTATGAAAAGTTACAGATCTTGCCTTGCAAGATGACTGCAGGTTTACTGTTTAAGGTCCTCATCCTAATCGAGAAAAAAAGGCGTTAATTCAACAAATGAATATGATATTCGTGTTTTCAGATCAAATAGTCCCAATATGAGAATACTCTTGGTGAATTCTGAGTTTCGACTCCTACTCATTAACGGTTGTCCTCAGCAGCCTTGCGTACAGCGGCTCGTTCAACTTTCTGAGAGCGTCAAACCTCGAATTAACATCGAATTTTAT